AGATGGGTTAGCATCAAATGATAATATTTTAGATGGTATTGAAAATTATGACCTTCACCCAAATAATATTGCGCAAAAGATTTCTTTTGGGTGGTACGAAGGAATCCTTAATCATTATGGAGACCACCAGGTTAAAGTTGTCTCTAGCATGGGCAAGAAATCGTGTGGAAAATCTTACATGGTAGGATATAGTTATACACAATACTGTACATGACATCAAATTAATAGATCTTTTCTTTACTAATTCATCTTTCTAAGTTAAATCACCTGGTGGGAACTACATTTGATGGATCCTCGATGGTAGGGTAGATCTATAAAATACATTGCTTGTATCTCTGGTTTCATTTTTATTGTTTACTTTTTTTTTTTTTGAACTAGATATGGACTGAAGGCGTCTGGATGTCATTGAGTAAGTATTAAGATATTCATATGAACGAGATGTAATCATTATATTCACCCGATAAACTTGATTAAAGCTATCACGGCACAGTGTATATACGTAGTCTTATATTTTCAAAGCTTGATGTCCCTTGAGAGAACTCCACAAGAAGGTAAACAAATATAGAGAGTAACGTGTCACAATATGATATGGCTATTAATTTGTGGTTCTTTAGAATTGTTCTTAACGCTATTCAACACTGTAACATCTAATATCATTCTTTTTAAGGTAATAAATATTCATGTTTTGACTTTTTTTGTTAAAAAAAGCAATTTTAATATGCATTTAATATCTAACATTTAACATTATATAACTTTTTTTTTTAAAAAAAGAATCAATTTCCGGTTGATCGTAATGTGTTAACAATGTTTCAAAGATTCCATGATGGTGCCAATTTATTGAACGACCCAAAACTATTCAAGGTATTATATGTTCATTAACAGAAATTACAAATAATAGATGCGGTATTTTAATGAAGGCTCAATTACTGTATCACATAGGCAAAATTATGCGTCATAATCAAAGACGTTCCTGAACAAGACAGAGAAGATATTGTTCGAGAATTTTCTTTAAGGTTTAACTCCATGGTCGCTCAGGTATTTACGTTATATTTTGTCCGATAGATGTTGAGAAATATCGTCAATAAAAGCCTTTTATAATTCAAGGAAGGAGAGGATAATTTTATAACTCAAATGTATCCAAGTGGTCTTATAATAATTCCTTACCCGATTTTTCATGAAGATAGAATGTATCAAATTTAGTCATGCATTTTTTATCTTAGTTTTTAAGTTTTCCTAATTAACATATTTTTCCTTTTTTCTAGGGTTTGCGTCTTGGGATTTTTTATACATTACTGCCTAGTCTATTTGTTACGCATATCATCATTTTTTCTTAATTCTTTTTTCGTCATTCATTTTTTTTGTGTGTGGATTAAATCATGACTTTTCATAGTTGGTATGTGTTTATGCTTATTTCAAAAGAAATACGAGAAAATGGAACAAATAATACACAATTGCTATTTTATAGGTTTACAGGCCTAAAAGATCTTAAAAAGATACTAGAGAAACAAGAAGCAAAATACACAAATGCACGAACCTTTTTACAGAACACAAAGATGATTATGGCAAAAATTAAGGTACAAACATATAAGCATTTTTGATATGTAAATACCCATTAACTAATATTTTTTAATTTGGTGCGTAATTCATAGACATGCGATTGGAGTCCTTTGGATGACAATTTAGTCCAAATTCGCGTGTCTACATTAAAGGGATTGCTTCAAACGGCTATATCCAAAGGTGTAGAAAAAAGTTATCCAACACTTGTGAACTTAATGGTAGGTGTTACGTTATTTCAGCAAAAAAATAATGACTGGTTCTTAATTTAAATATTATGTATTTTATGTACACAGAATCATGATACAGGAACAAAAATAGACGACCCTGTGATCGAGTTGCCTGAAATATTGGAATATTTCGATGATCCTAGAGAAATTCTTTCGGATGAGGAAATGTTGCTTTTCGATGAAAATATTGATTTTGTACGTCTATCTGCAGATTTAAGAACGTACTTTGAACAAAACATACAGCAAAGAAAAAATTGTACCGATGACACTAAATGGTTTAAGGGACTTGATCAATTTTTCAAATATATTATTTATCGAAGAACTGCAAGAGTTAGAGAATGGTTTGAACAAAACACCTGTGAATTTCCACAAGGTTATATTGACATTCAAATTGAACGTTATGACATGGAGAAAGAAATAAACAAGATTACAATCCTTTGGACTTTGTGTGGGATGAGCTGCACCCATTGTGGACTCCGATGTATAAAAAACTGTGATCATGAGAATGAACACGATTGCTTAACGGATCATAAATGTCATTTTCCGTGTCAATTCCCGGGAGTACATACAAATAAAGGATTCATTCCTCAGTGTGAATACAAAGCCGGTCATGATGGAAAGCATGCATGTGACAATGCCGGTCATATATGCGGAAAGCCTTGCAGCTTAGAGGATAGGAGTAACTGTCAAAAAGTCTGCGCAAAAAAAATAGGTCACGAGGATAGCAAACATATGTGTCAGTCAAAACGTATGTAAATTAAATAAATTACCTGTTATGTTGCTATTTATCTTACTAAATTACTGTTGCGTCAGGTCATTACTGTGGTAAACCTTGTTCTCTATCAGCATACACAAAAAAAGGAAATTATCAATGCCCTAACAAATGCATTATTGCCAGTGAGGAAGAGCATGATGTTCACCGTAAGAATGTTACTAATCACTAAGTATGGATATAATGTATATTAAATGCATATTGCTATATTGACAGGTTGTGAAAATGAAACATGCCCCATTCAATGTCTTATGCCAGAGTAAGAAATAACCAGACATCATTTTCGACTTGAATAATGATTCAATTTAAAATTTTTTTCACTTTAGATGCCAAAGGAGATGTCAAAACAATGATCATTTTCATGCATACTCGGAAACTTATGCTATAGATCATTTTTGTGGGTCAATATTAGTGTATACATTGAAGATTGCACAATAAATATTTATTATCTATACCTGATCACAATTTTTGACATCTTCAATAAATTACAGACAGGAGCATCAGTGCCGAGAATATTGCGATGAACCCGGAATA